TCAGTTCCCTGGCCTGTCTTAAGTTGTTGTTTTTTTTGTGTGAAACGGGGACCTGGTAAATACAGTGCCTAGCTAGATGTAGCAACTATCTCCTACGAACCTTTGGGTTTTTATAACATAAAGTAATTAACATTTTAAATTAATTTACACAAAACACAAAATAACGCATTCCCCAATACTAAAAATGATAAATCAAAGAGTTAATCAGTTGATAAAACCGAAATCAAATAAAAGTAGATAATAACAGCAAATAAACAAATCTTTGTACGAACAAAACAACTTTTCTCAGTTGATAAATAATACATTTCAAACTAACTACCACTTACTAACTAACTTACTAACTAAAATAATCTATACATTGTTGCTTATATGCAAATGTTACCATAATTTTTGTTAATGGCCGAATTAAAAGCACCAGTGGAAAACTTGTGTTGTGAAAAATAACATTTTGAACGGATAAAATTAACTCCATTAAACGAAATAAAATATCATTGCCTATAATCCAGGCACAGAGATTATGAGAAATTAATTCACTTCGCCTTGACCTCCTGTCTTCAATAATTTTGATCACGTTTCGCAGCCGAGTTTGACACGCAAACCATCCTCCATAGCTACAAAGATCTCTATGTGCACGATTTCACAAAAGTTATTCCCCCATCAATGTTCACTAACTGTCGTCTGCTGAGATCAGTGAAAGTAGTGCACAATCTCGTGGCGGAGAGATACGTTGCTGCCTTGCAGTCCTGTGCGTAGGTGCATACAGCCTCGCACTCACGAGATGACGTCACAGTCTGCTCGGTGCCGGCCTCTCCATTGTACGTCTGGCCGGGGAGTCGTTCAGAGATTGTGCACGTAGATTCTGAAATACAACCAAAGATTATCAATATTTATACAGCCCAAAAAGGTATGAGCTTTAACAAGAAGAAAAAAGTGCCTTAACAGTATCGTTGAACATAGCTAACCCGCAGTTTAATCAAAACAATATAGAACAAAGATGCCCTTTATGTTGGTTTTGCAGCTGATAAACAACTTCGTCATATGTAAGGTCCACTTAGCACATTGGGCTTTGCAATTTTGTCATATACATGTATAAAGGCTAGTTAATTTTGACCAATAAAATGCCATTCCGCAATAAAGAAACTCAATTAAACATCAAGTAAATACTTTTTCCATGATGACTTGGATTGATTCTTAAAATTCTGTGCCCATTTCGTGGTCAATTGCATAAGCTTTGTGAAAATCATCATTTTTGTCATTTTAAAACGCCTTTTTTAACATGTAATCTATACGTCTTTTGACAGTGTGGGTCTAACACCCCATTCTCATAGATTAGATCGACCTACATTGGATCGACCTAACTCCCTGGGGGTTCACGCTAAATAGCTGTCAGCCGGGCGGACACGAAAGTTAATTACCCCTTAAAGCTTGTAGTAGGCGGGGACGGACACTTAAGGGGGATTATCTGACAGTAATCTAGTGAGACTCCCCGCGGTGATAGATCGATCTAAAAGTTGTGATAACAGAGCCTAAGTCTATCGGTTGTGGGTATGAGTTATTGGAAATGATACATTACTTGTAATAATAAACCTTATATAAAGAGAGTTAAATATGTCTAACCATAAAAACGCATCTTCCATACACGTATCAAACATGTATCTAAAATTTAATTAAACTTAAGTTTTGATTATCAAGCAGTAGATATTGCAAGTAAAACTTACCAGAACTTCATAACATATTATAACTCACACAGGTATCTATCAATTTACAAAAATATGACCCACCTGAAGATTTGGAGCATAGTTTTTGAGAAGTAGACACACCGAAGAACGGTTCTAGCGCCACCCCCTGCACGTCCTCGTAGATGGCGCAAACAGAGAAGCCGAACGTGTACGTTGCAGCCAGGCACTCCGGTATTGAGAGACAAATGGCATTACACTGGGCTATGGAGGTGGCGGGACTGTACCGTGACGTCAGAGCTTTCGTGTACGCTTGCCCCGAGACCCGGTTCGTCATGATGCAGTGTTCTTCCGAAGCTAGGGAAATTATTGACAATATAAGTAAGCTGTGAGCGTTCTTCCTGAATACTTTTGATTGAATAATTTTATAATGTACAAAACACAGTTGGCAACGGTTAACTTCATTGAGCTGACAGAATTTATTCAAGTTAAATAAAACAATCATTTGATCAAGTGTAACATACAGTGTACATATACTTGTACTAGTACTGATGCACTGTTTTTAAGGTACATGAAAACAACGCCTTTACAGATTAAATGGAAAGACTGTACGCTGCGAACATCATTGTAAGACGATACAGTCAAGTACATGTACACAGTTTATGATAAACTATCACGGTAATGTCAAAAATCTGACTGTCAAAAAAATATAATAATAATAAAATAAAAAAATAAATAAATAAAATAAAATAAATAAATAAAAAAAACTCTGAATGTGGAAGATACTTGTATCTTAACCCAGTGACCCTCAATTGTAATCACTGACAGTTTGTGAATCGATATTAATTAGACTGACGCCTTACGACTTGCCTTGTCATGACTTTTCTGTCAGTTATTCAAAAGAGACTCAAGGGGGCCATATATACTGTACATGTATTTAGTATAAGCGTGTACATATTTTTTCAGACGTTCAATGTAAGTGACGTAGTGAATTCGTGTGTTAAATACAGCAAATTTATGTTATCAATAATTCTACAAAACAGAAAATTACCACTCAGGCAGTCGTGCTAGTCATAAAGCTGCCAAAATAAAGCGTATTCTGTAAGCTATATAAAACTCACCTCCAAGACAGTAAAACTCAAGAGCATCCTCAGCCTCGTTTTCGCACCTATCCTTTGCATCCTCTCGCGAGATCTCGTAATCCGTGTTCACAGCCCTTGGTATGCCCTGGGAAAACCCGAAATTGTCTCCGATGGTGGACAAAAAGGAGGCAGTATTTGGGATGCTGCTGATTGGAATCAAGTTGCCAAGCCTAGAGTGAGTGGACCTATGGAGGAAAGTACGATGTGTACATGTGATAGTTAAAGTCCATGTTACATGTATAGAATCAATAGCGGCTTTAGGGGCGCGTTAAAAGGAAACCTAAGAATTTTATTGAAAAATTGTTCTGCTATCATACCATCCGGCGTATTTGACAGCATTATGCACATTCTCTCTCTCTCAAAAATAACTTAAACTAGAAAAGCACTCCGACAGCGCAGACCCCCGCCAAGGCAGCAAAGTCTCCACCCAATGCCGTTTCACCCCTAAATTTCCATTCCATAATTCTATAATTCTATAGTATTTTTTTTGGTAATTGACTACTGATTGATTATTGATCCGGATCACCACCAAAAACTAATAATCTGTTCCTTGGCCCACTTCTGACAGTCCCTGAAAATTTAATCAAAATCGGTACTTTCTGAGTTATGTTGATGACAGACAGACAGACAGACAGACAGACAAACAAACAGGGGTGAAAACATAACCTCCTTGGCGGAGGTAATAATCTAATAAACACAATTAAATAAACTAAGACAGAATAAAGAAGCACCATTGTGTTAACCACTTGCCTGTGAATACATCTAAGAGTCCGATTCGTGTTTGCCTCTTTTGCTGACACTTTCAACGTCACAGTTATGTTTGCCCTCGGTTTATAGTGCGCTGTGACGTCACCAGGTACTATGACGTCACCAGCACATCTGAACTCTAGGCAGTGGAAATGAGATCTCGCTGCTCGGTCGGAGTCGCAGGTGGCGGTGCCGAAGTCTTCGGTATTGAATCCATTTTCGTTTAATTCACTGCTGGCTATAACTGCTGCTTTAAATTCAATCTGAAAGATGAGAGAAACTAATAGTAGTAATACTGGTAAATAAAATACCCTTTTAAAAAATGATAATGAATCACTAAGCACATTAAAGAATGAATGAATATTTTAAAAACCACTTAAATAGCATAACTGATTGAAACATTATTAATCAATGCATTGATTTACGAATTATTACGAATTGATTAATTATAAATCTATCAATAATACACTTAATTGTTATACCAAAAGCATTTTGTGCTAAAGCTGTAGCACTTATCCTGTAATTTTTTAACAGATATGTTTTGGAGCTTTGTGCATATATAAGAAGTGACAAATCTTCCTTTTTTGTTTCTTGTTATGTGTTTTCACTCATGCATCAGCAATTACTGGAGATGATAGAATTTTTTTGTCATAATATAATCACATCATAAGTTAGCTGGGTAGTTTTATGACGTTCGTCACTTGAAAAGTTTCACTCTGGGTATAAAAATGTATCATTTTCTCAACGAGTATGAGTTTACATGCCAGTACTGGTGTGATTCTATAATCCATTTTTTATAATATCATTGCGTAACAGGCCCGCAGCCAGGAAATTCAAAGGGACTGGGTGTTTTTTTTTTTTTTTTGAAACAGTGGACCTTTTACCACGAAACCTTCATGTACCTAGACCAATTTTCACGCAGAGCTGATCTTTTTTCGACAAAAAGCGCGATTCGTTCGCCTCCCCGAGCCCCACCTGGCTGACTGGATGCGTTACGTACCAAGTAATAATTCAAGATAATTCATCGTAAGTGGCCAAACAGAAAGCTACATTTTTTCCTCTTTTGTTTTTCGGCCATTTTCATAAACTAATCTGAGCTAAGAGAGTTGACGTTTCCCCATTTAGTGGATATAAACTGCAGAAAACTCGTTATTAGAATATTAAATACTGATATTTTCATATAAGATACTTTTCTCATTTTCCTCTGTTTTTATTTCAATCTGTATATAAATAAAATATAATAATAATAATAATACGAAAAAAAAAAAAAACCTACCGGTCCCATAACTTTGACTCGCACGAAACAGGCAGCGTACCGGGCAGTCGTTCTTTCTGGCACTTTCCACTGGGCTTCATTTTTCCTAAAAACACTGCATTCCCTTTTGACAGGGACATAGAATTTCAAATGATCTTTACTCTCCGGGCTATAGCATGACGGAAGATCTCGATAAAATGCCCGACTGGGTACATTTCGGGGAGATTCGTAATACACATCCGTATGGTTCACGATGACGTACTGGTTGTAGTCAGAGATGTCCGCCAGGAGTCGCTGGGGAGACCCTGCTGGCCCTTTGGCCTCCGAGAAGATGAAACCCTCGGCGTTGGGGCAGAAAGTTCGTAGGCATGCTTTTCCGTTTTGAATACATGTGCGACTGTAACCGATCCAGTTTCCGGTAGTGCTGCTTTTGGTCAGGATGTAGGCATTCAAACCAGAAACGGGACTCGTCTTGCTGACGTCATCGTAGGCGCCAACTTTCACGTGGCACTGAATGGTGTTGTTTTCTCTGATGTCTAAATTGTAATAATCGTACAACACTGGGGTAGGGATTGTCCCAGCGATGAAGGATCGCGGTTGTGTTTGAAGTAGCCTTCTACCTGTGCGTCTCAACCCTTCCTCTGTAACATCTTCCCGTTGGGAAAGGGGTCCCACCTCCACCCACGCTCCGGTATTTTTATCGAGACCCCATAATTTAACATCCGTGAGTTCATTGTTTTCCGACATAGCCTTGACCTTGTCGGGGTCAAACTGAAGCTGAATAGGTTTTGTCACGAACAATTGGTTTCTTCTTGTGTCCTCAAACCTCAGTGAAAATGTTCCAAAAGTTCTCAAGGGGTCGGTTTCCCCTTCTTCGCTCATCGTTACGAATTCCCCTGGGGACTCTGTGATTCCTTCGAGGTCTCTGGTGTCTTGAAACGACAAGAGCAAACGCGCTTCTCGAGAAAATATTTTTCCGTTTTTGTCCACGACGGAGCCAGCGTCAACTTTAAGGGTCCCTAAAGGAGACGAGTCCGAACCGATTATGTTGACACTGTTTGTTTTGTTGAGCGTCAGTACTACCGGATCCGGGTTTAAGGGTACCTTTATAGACTGATAGGCCGTTAAGCCGGATTGGTACTGTAAAACTTTAACCGTAGTTGATAGACGTCTGAAAGGGCCGTCCTTAATTTCAACTGCAAATCTCTCAACCTTTTCGGGAACTCTGAAATGAAATTTTCCGTCGCTGGTTGTTTTGGACAACTGCTTTCCTTTGTAATAAATGGTCCCGTACTGCAAAGGGATGATTTCATTGTTTTTCTTCCCGTAAATAATTCCACTTACAAATGCTTTTGTGACGTCATCAAAACAGTTCACACATCCACATGACGTAATTTTGTACATGACGTATTGTGTTCCGTCATTACATGTCACATTTATAGTTTCCGTTTCCTTTGGCTTGCAACAAGAAGACGAGGAGTTTTTACTACTGTTGCATGTAGCTGAGGGAGCTTCGGAGGAGAGGACGCACCTGTTGGCGGCGCATTCTCCAATGTCTATCGTCGTGTCACGTGCTCCCGTGACGGAGTTGTTCACGTGGCATCCAGGCAATAGATCTACCTTCTTTGACGTCAGTGATCTGGAGCATGCGTCAAAATCATTCACTGAAAGTTGTGATGCAATAAAGTCATCATTTTGATCTTATTGTGCATCAGATACATAATATAAACTTTCAAAATAATAGTTATACATATATAAGTTATTTAATTATATAATATATAATTAAGTACTTGACTTTGTGATAAATGCATATGTGACTATTAATAAACCTGCTTCCATGTCGTTACACAATTTTTTTTTTGCCTGACAGCAGTAATGACAGAAGTCAATTTAACCAACAGCCGTTTACTTAAATTATTTTACCGAATTAGATGCAGTAAAATACTTTTATCGAAGATACGGATAGGTTTTTTTCTGATTATTATTATTATTATTATTATTATTATTATTATTATTTATTTATTTTTAGCTCACCATATACGGTTAACACTGCGGGTTTTGACATGGTCTTCCCGGACGGTGACACTGCCTGGCACTGGTACGATCCAGAATCCTGCTGAGTGACCTTGCCGAGGGTAAGAACATTTCCAGCCCCTTGTTGTGCATCTTCCAGCAGTCTATTATCTTTGTACCTGTATATATACCGATACTGCATTATTGTTAGGCACACTGAGATTTTTATGGAATAATCCATAAAATAACGTATTCTCATTATTATTATTATAATAATTATTATTATTCTCTAACATAGACTTTGTCACTGTACCTGAAAAAAAATAGTAAAAAACTTACACAGTTCACAAACTTTGGGCAAAATCTACCAAACCGGGCTGATGCTGAACGAACATATAGTAATAGTAGGCAACTTTTATCTTTTATTTTTATATACCCTTTGAAAATAGTTTTTCTATATATCTGTATTATGCAGTTACTAAAAGACATTCATGGTTAAGAAAGGCCCTAATTTTAATAACCAAGATGGAGCATCATGATGAGGAAGATCGAATTGCCTTCAATTTAGATCTATTTAGGATCGGAAATCGGTCAAAAACACGTTGTAAGATCACTAGATAGTGTATGTAGAAAAACAACTCGATTTTCCGCTTTTTTGTCAAGAACACTCCTAATGTGAACGTTAAAATAATAAATTGTATTACAAGTCTCACGACTCACCACAAGTATTGTAGCTTTTCATCATGCGCTGTAGCGTTGCAACAAAATGTCACCGACTGGCCTACCAAAGCTGCCGTGCTAAAGGGATGGTCTGTGAATTCTGGAGGCTCTGTAAGATACACGAAAGTAGGGAATGAACAACGTGTAACAGGAAAGCTAGTCAAAAGTAAACGTTATTTTCAAGCTATTTCGATATAAGATTTAAGGTATGCTATGCATGTTAGACATATACAAATAAATAAAAAACAATCACATGGGAGTTTCAAAAAAATAAAATCCTTGCATATGTAAGATAAAAAAGAGGAGGTGCATTAATCTGCTAAAGTGATGGCATTCAGCAATAGTCCCCTTTGAGTTAGATTGGTGTACGTTGAACGATATTTTCATTGGGAATGAGCCCTAAAATTGACCAGGGTAGTATTATCAGATTATATATATATTTATGAATAATACTTCAATAAAAATCTGTTTAAAATATTTATGAAAAAAAAAAAAAAATTTGACATAATTCCGAAAAACCTAAGAATAACAAATTACAATAGAAAAAATAACTTGTATAAAACAGAATAGCTCTTGTAGATTCCGGTTTCAGTAGATCTGGGATATTTTTGAATTCAATTGGGCCGAAAATTGGTCAAAATTTTCAAGTCAATACAAATTCTAGTCTACCTTTAGAAAAAAATACCTCTAAAAGAGAAAATCTGTAGTTCCAATTTTTTGGGCTAGTTTCATCAAGGAGTCAACTGTCTCTCTCAGTAAAACTTATGTCAGTTTTGAGACAAACTTGCATTTCTTATTAAGACCATTGTAATTAGTTTATTTAATTGAAATATTACCTATTTATCTTAAACCTAATAGTAGGGAATTTTACTCCTAAATGTTAAACTGGTTTTGCGTTTTTTTTTTATTTTTTTTTTGTGTGTGATACAGCAACCTTTCTGTATTAAAAGACCTTGGTCTCACCTTTACGACTAAGAGACACGTTCAATCGCGCATGCGTGTTATTGACTTCTATGGCAACGTCACGTTTTTCAAAGAAGAATGGTGCTCTGATGACATAACTTATTTCTCTTGTACAGACATTCGGCACCGAAAATTCTCCCCACTGATTCGTCATGGTGATGGCCTCCCACTGCTTATCTTGGTGAAAAACTGCCGCAGCGTTCAGAGGTATGCCATTGGTAGTCGTCACGCGGCCGTACAATACGGAACCATTGCAAACGCATATTGAACAGTTCACCAATGTGGCACCGGCGGGACAGGGTTTATTGCAGTCTGAAACAAAATCGTATAGAAAACTACAAGAATATGGTAAACAAGACAACATTAAAATAACGATCTATTTAATTGATATAAAATGTACTGTTGATGTTGAAAATTGTGAAAAAGATGTCCGTAAGCTTTTCAAAATCTTGAAAAAATCTGTCTCCGTAAATGCACTTTTCCGTCAAATAAAAACAAAAATTCTACTATTGAACAAAGACCCAGCAAATAAAAAAAATTATATAAAAACACTAAATATAATCATATAAAAGATAAAGATATAAAAAACAATACATAATATAGATAAAAAAATGAAAATTTTTATAAAAAAGAAAAATATAAAACTGTCTGAGTAAATGCGCTTTTACAGCAAATCAAAATAAACATGCTATTATCGAACAAGAACCCAACAAATAATAAAAATAAAAAAATATAAAAATACAAAATATAATCATACAAAAGATAGATATATAAAAAACAAATACATAATATAAATAAGAAATGAAAAATTATATTAAAAGAAAAATATTAAACCGTCTGCGTAAATGCGCTTTGACAGCAAATCAAAACAAACATTCTATTATCAAGAAAGGACCCAGCAAATAAAATAATAAATATATAATCATATAAAAGATAAAAATATGAAAACAAATACATAAAACAGATAGAAAATAAAAAAAAATAATATAAAAAAGAAAAATAGAAAAGGTCTTATAGTACCCGGGCACGGCCAATCAGAACAATTGCGCCTCTCAAAGTCCGGTCCTGCACAATCCAAGCCGCCATTGTGCGGGGCGGGGTCGGAGCAGGTGCGTCGTCTGACTTGTACACCTTGGCCACACGTTGTTGAACAACCACCCCAGGGGTCCCAGCGTGTCCACTGGCCGTGTATTGGTTCACCTGTACAGTTCAAAAACACAGTACTACTGATCAGTGCATAGAAAAAAATATTTTTACAATTATGAGTCTATTTAAATAAAAAAATGATAATAGAAGTTTTTTTTTGTACAATAGAAATAAGCTGAAACGTTACTTGCCAATATAAGCATATTTCTCATGTTCCAAAATGATTTCTACAATTCTTTTGAAATTACTTAGCTGATGGAATTTGCCAATAAATAAATAAATAAATAAATAAATAAATAAATAAAAAGAAAATTTAATTAAAACAATGATAATTTGTCTTACTGCAAAAAAAAAAAAAAAAAAAAAGCTTCTATGCGTCAACAAGGAAAATTTAACAAAACTTATTTTAAAAAAAACCTATAATCACACGCCATTTCACAGATAACAATTCCCTTGTTCCTTTTAACAAAACAAATGTATATCGAAATCTCACAGTACTTAAATCAAAGAATTAAACAAACAGACAACGGTAGCTTCATTTAAAACGTATTTTGGTCTTGAAAATAAACAAACCAACAAAACATAGACAGTACAACCAATCTGAAAAGAACTAACAGGAGAAAAGGTCAATAACCGAAAGACTCGGGGGATAACACCTGTAAGCCCTACAGGGCAAGTTGGTGACACTTCGAACGCTTTTGAGTTACTGCACCAACCCACTGAGAACTCAAATAGCGTGCCTGACTACATCAACACCTAGGTCCAACTGCCTCGGAACAATTGCGACACAGTGACAGCACTGTGACAACACGGTGACAACACAGTTACAGCATGACAGTGCAACACAACATTGACTTGTCACAGCCACTGGCTAAAGGGGACATTTTTTATGTTGAAAACGCGCACTGGTTGACTTGCACCCTCTGTGGTGCTACTACAAAATGGTCTATGTGAATCGCAAGGTTAAAAAGGTCTTCTCTAGTTTTTTTATGTGTTTTATTGATAGGTAATTTATTTTAAAGAACTTCTATGAATCTTAAATGTACTATAACAGGTTTTAGTCTCTCATAACCCATAATAGGGTGAGTTTTATCTTTAAACGTGAGACTTAAATAAAATTATTATTATTATTATAACAATTATTATTACTGCAGACTGCTAAAGGCGTATCCAAGGGATGAGAATGGAAACTTTCATCTTGGTTAGATACATGTAGCAATAGGCAATAGGCCATTTGCATTTATAGGTTTTGACCGCACGCAATCTCTTCAACAGGAGGGACGTTGTATGTACATTTTATCTGCTGTTTCTGAGATTATAAAAATACTAGCTAAATTTATACTGTGGTTGCACAGAGGTTGCCCTGTAAAACCGGTGTAACAGGAATGCTAGGAACCGTAGTCCGCTTCCCATTACTTTGTACAGGTTACATTCGTCTCATATAGTAACTCCAATATTCCAACTAACCCTAATCTGTACTACAGCTGTAATCATATGGGATCCCGAACTTCTATTCCGAGGACTTCCATTCCTGTTTCACCGGAATATACAGTATATAGTCCATCAGAAGGCACCTCGTGCATAGCTTGTGAATAGCTAGGAAAATGTCTTTGGATATCTATTTAGTGATATATTTTTCCTGTGACTCTGACAGACGTTAAAACACAAATAACACGCGTAATTGCCTAGTTACATTTGGTGCAAACATTTCGTGTACCACCTTACTGAAAACTACCCGCGCACGTGACTTGACTTTATACCCAGTAGGTAAACGTGACACACTGACAGCTTCTTTTAGAAATGAATAATGGTAGGTGTTACAAAAGAAAGCTCTCTGTTCGCTACAGCTGTTATGCAATCTAAATTTTTCTTTTTAGGCAAGCAAACTAAAATGCGTTGAAACAAGCACTGTAAAAATATTTTGGTCACCTTGCAGTGAATACGTTAATTGTTAGATTTTTTGCATTTTTTAAATATAATTTAATAGTAATACTATATATCTATCTTCATTGCTAACAAAGGCCGCAATCTTATACAAGCTGCATGCATTTACTGCAATTCATCTGAGTTGAATTGTACCACGTTTCATTTATAAAAAAACTGATATTTGTTAGCTTTCTAATGTTAAAAATGGTTTTACGGATCTGTGGAATTTTAAAAACTATCCCAAATCCCCGAGGAGCATACAACCCAAGCGACATGGCAGCGCTCAAAGATATAATTCACACTAATCAGCGTATCACTACCAAGAGCGGGTATTTACTCCTTACTTCATCCTCCCTTGAGTATTTTTTTCAAGGAGACAGCAGGTACCATTTTTTTAAAATTGTCCTTGGTATGACTCGGCGTGGGAAGCGGCCACACCACCACCTGCGCCAGAGGCGAGCAACTCTTTTTTAGAGATAGTCTACCCAGTCAGTTGATTTTGATATAATTTATGATGATGTAAATTGGCGTGTCAAAGTGTGCATTTAACTTTGAAAGAAAACACAATGAAAGTCTGTTTTGGTAGTGCATTTTTACAAATATATTTTTACAAATATATTTTCATTTTTAATAAAAGTAAGATGTGTAGAACAATGTCAGACAACTTAACTATCAACCATAAAGTCTCTCTCTCTCTCTCTCTCTCTCTCTCTCTCTCATACTGAACCTCCTACCGGCATTTTGTTCAAACAATAACAAGTTGCGTGAGTAACAATGATAAAAAGACAGAATTGCGTAAACAAAGGATCACCTTGGTTGACCTTGAATATTTCCGGCTGTTCTTCTCGCTCAACTGGGATATTGTTCTCTATAAAATATAAAAACGAAAAGAGAACATATGGCAAACATAATTTGTTCATATATATGAACGGGGTCATTCCATGAGAAATATTGACTCCCTGAGTCACGGCAGTACTGGTGACGCACACATTTGATGCAATATTTGTTTTATAATGTCAATAATAATTTATTGAGCACAGAAATGGTTTTACATTTAAAGGCTCTCTAACTACTATATATATATATAGGAAAATAAAAAATTCGGACTTTCCCAAAATTTTGCTAATAAAACCGGTATAGCACCATCAAATATGGACAGAAAAAAATTGTTGAGGGCCATTCCGTGGTATTTGGTCCGCAGGCCAAAAAATTAAAAAAAGAATCCTACTTACAAAACTACTAATTTCTGAAACTAGGCACCACAAGACACCAGAATCCAAAAGAAAATTTAGGTTTTGATGATGAATTATGATTTTATTGACACTTTTGTCTGGATAACTTATAAAGCAGTGTTACAGAAGGTCATTTTTTAAATATATTTTTCATAATAGAGATAATTTTAAACAATAAAGGCTAAATACATTAAATATAACATTTCTTACATTTAGTCAAGTTAAATTAAAAAATATTTGATTATAAATAATATCAATTTGTACTTCCGAGATGATTTTGGTACCTTTTTTAAAGTTTTTAAATAACTACAAAAGCTAAAAACTTATAACTTCATCTTCTCCTCAATCATGATATGGGTCAACAAAATACGAAAACATTTTTGCTTAGAACCACTCCAATAAGAAATTAAATCCAAAAACATGAGCATTAAACATGACACCTAGAACTGTGGAAGGACATGTGAGGCATTTTGATTGGACAATAAGAGGTCATGTGACCGATGAGCCCTAAACCCTTATGTCTTTCAAGATAATCTTTAACTTAAAATGCAGAATTATTATATAAAGAAGCATTTTTAAACTGAGAAACATTTCATTTGAATGAATGATTTAGAAGTTATTATAATTAAGACAATTGATTATATCTATAATTAATGAATTTGGTAAGATTTTCTCTTAAATGTCCCAATATTATTTAAAGATGATCAGAGTAGATGAGAACTAATACCATATCATATTATCATGGAAAGACTTGTTTACCTTTGGCATCCTTCATCAAACTGATGCTGGTCTGTATTCATAAAATATTATTATTAGCCTTGTTTTACATTTTATTTAGCAATGGACAAAACGTCCTTCCGAGACGCGTCCTTCCGAGACGCCTACTTGATTTTTTTATATGCAAAATTTTCAAATTAATTTTTTTTCAAAAAAAAAAAAAAATTATATTGACAAAGTGAAATAATCAAATATTCAAATTTTGATTCGATTTTGATTCGACTTTAGAAATATTTCAACAGACTGAGAAGATTTTTCTGTTGAAACTGAAAGTAAAAATTCCATGTCTGTTTCACGGCCTTCCGAGACGTTAACTATTTATTATAATTTTTCGTAACTATATTTTTTTTAGCCCAATTTTTCTTAAATATAACTTACATAAAGAGGAAAAAAACATACAAAAAATGGGATTCTAACTTTTTTACTTTTTAAAATATTTTCATTTGAATGTCAAATGTCCTTCCGTAATGGCAATAAATAAATAAATAAATAAATACCACATAATGGCCTTTAATTAAAAGTCATATAACACATATCCAAATATATCAGTATATAATACGTATGCAAATAATATACATGTGTCACTGACGCCACACATATTTTTCCTTTTTTCGTGGAATGCAATATGCTGGTACGTGTTCTGTGTCAATACGATATTCAATGGTTATTTCGGTAGGTTTCTCTTTGCGAGTTTGTAACGTGATGTGGCTGATTACAAAAAAAAAAAAAATAAATAAATAAATAAATAAATAAATAAATAAATAAAATAAAATAAAAAAATAAAAATAAAAAATAAATAAATAAAAGAAAAAAAATACTGATACTATTCCATTGTCAATCATAAAAGTAGCATATTTATGCTTAAATGTTTATCCCTAAAACATTGTTGAAAAACAGTAAATAGACTTTTTTCAAGTTGAGAACAGTAAAAAAAATTGGAAAAAGATATATGGTGCGCGTTATTGAAAAAATAATTCTGAAAATGTCAACAAATGCTTTATTATCAAAAAGGTATACTCTATCTAAAAACGTTGCAATTTAACATCTTTTTCGAGTTCTACTCCTAAAAGTACCTACGTTTAACTGTCAACCCCTTCATTCTCTACAAGCACACAGGTATCTCTATTACACGAGCGGCGAGATTAAACTTTTAAAACCACCAAATCATCTTATATAGATCTTAATAACGTGTATATTTTTGACAATGAGATATTGTCATCATTGCAGGAAAAAAGCTGAAATTTCCCGGAAAATAAGGACATCCCTTTTTCAAGGCCAGACGTTTTTCCTGAAAAATGATCATAATATTTCGAGATCCCCCCAGAAACAGTGCATTCCATTACTGTTATCAAAATAAATAACTAGATAAATAAATAAATAAATAAATAAATCATTGATATTTGCCTACCTTGAAACTCAGTGTCCAGACCGGAAACCAACTTCTGCTGCGGGACTGTTGTCACGTGGTCTTTAAGATGGGGAGCAATGACGAAAACCCCAACCAGAGACAGTATTAACCCCACAACTCCCAGCACGACCAAAATCGCTGCAATGGCCCATTTCACCATCTTCTTCCTCCTCAGCTCTTCCGCCAAAGACGGAGGAAAGCTTTTCGGTAAAGGTTCGTAAACACTCTCAACGGACGGCACCTTGGGAATCGGAAGCGGAGGCACGTCCGGACGAATCTCCGAAGGTGTCACTTTTTCAAGTTCAATATCCACATGCTTCTCGGAGCGATCCTGCATTTCGCGATGGTCGGTGACATTCCGGTAATCTCCTGGCGGGATTGGTGTTCTCCGTACAGGAACCTCGCTGTTGTTGGTAATGGTGTCGTAAACATTTTCCCTATCCCCTACATAATCACAAGCTACGTCATAGGGAAAGGATTTCGGTGCCTCGTACAGCCCCAGATCATTGTCTGCCGAATCAGGGAAGTCATCCGTTACGTCAGAATCAAGGTCACCTTCTGTGGGGTCAAGGTCGTTTTCGTAGGGGTCAAGGGCAGACTTGGGAACCTGTTTGGTGGGTTTTGGGGGAGGAATTGGCACGTAGGCCTTGTTCACGAAGAACGCTCCTTTGCTCTGAGTCGCTGGCCTCGGATCCACTTTCGGTGATGGAACTGAAAGAATACAAGTAATAGTTTTAGACACGGCAGTTATCTTCTCCTAGAATAATCGCCATCAGTCGTTTTCACAGACTACGTCATTAGAATTTCGTGCATTGGTTGCAAATATCCATTGAAATATATTCACAGTTGCAGTTCTTACATTGATACCCAAAACTTCCGAAATGAAGAAAGTCGAACCACCTTTTAAGGAAGTGGCCATCTGCGCAGTTTACCCCTATTTAAATGCTTTATTCAGTTGCATATTTACATATATTCATTGTCAGCTGATCGGCTGCTTTATGTTTTCCATCTAAGTATATATTTTGTCAAACAAAAACGCCGAATCATGTTAAGTACATTATTTAGTATTCCGTTTATACCTATGACAATTCACGAGATGTTTTAACAAATAATTCACTTTTTATGAATGAAACAAGCCCACATCATTTAAAACATAAATTAATTTTGCTCTAAATGCACCAGATAAATAAATCAAATCACATGTGCTTAACATGCTAAACATGCATTATAAAATTATATTTTGCCATTTTTTACATAAATCAATTCAATGTATTTAAATATAAAAACATATGATCCTGTTTCTAAAATGTATGGATTATTTAGAAATATAACTTTTTGTTTATATTTCTATACATGATGCAACATACTCTGTTAAAATACATGTCTAATTCTGTCCTTTGAAAAAAATGATGTGAAAATTTCTGC